GGGACATCACGGGGACGAGGACCACCTACCAGTTGGACAAGGCCTGCAGGGCTGCGTTCATGTAGCAGGAGTTCCCGAGGTTCTTCATGCCTGTGAGGCCTGGGGACAGACACCAGGGGTGGGTTAGTGCCCAGTCCAGAACGGCCTCCCAGGTCTCCCCCAGTGGAGCCGCCACCCAGAGCCCCCCAGGATGGTGGAAGGTGCGCTCCCCAGAAAGCCTTCAGTGAGCCAGTGTGCTCCTGCTCCTGGGGCTCCAAGGTCCTGAACTCGGGAGGTAAACAGGGTCCTAAGCCATGCTGCCCTGCCCAGCCAGCTGCCTTGCCCACACTGACCAGGAGGCCAACTGCAGAGGGGCCACCTGCCCAAGGCCACACAGCTGAGGGAGACGCCAGGCCTCTAGGACCTCAGCTGGGCCCACTGGCCCTCTAAAGGAAGCCACTTACCACCCCGTATGGCTGTCCCTCCTCCTGACCCTAGAGCTCCCAGCCCCCAGCCGAGGGCTCAGCCTGCCCCACACCTCCCCTTGTTCTGGGGCCATTACCTCGAGGTTTCAGGTCATCGTCCTCTGACTCAGACTCTCCTTCGTCAGCCACAGCAATGGGAACGGCTTTCGGAGGATGAGAGGGTAGCGGAGAGTCCTGTGTTCAAGACCCAGAGAGAAGGAAAAGGGGGCTGGGGAGGGGGAAGGGCTGGGGAGGGGGCTACCTGCCTCCAGAGGGCAGGACCAGCCCACAGCCCCGGCCCCACACACAGAGCACGGACCATGTTGGTCCATCAGAGCAGGAACAGCCTAGGAAGAGATGGCATCAGCAGCTAATGTGAGCACAGGGTCACTGACTTGTATTTTTTATTTGCAATAATGAATAATTTTATTTCTAATATATCTGGGAAAAAACAGGAACATAAAGAAAAACTATGAGATTCCATTTCTAGGAGAGGATCTTATTAACTATAATACACAGACTTCAAACTGCTCACTTCAAAACTCTCACTACAAGCTGGATGCTGCATATATTGGTAGTTTTTGTTTTTGTCTTTGTTTTGCGGTACTGGGGATTGAGCATGGGGGTGCTCTATCACTGAGCTGCACCCCTGGCTCTTTTAATTTTTTATTTTGAGACAGGGTCTAATTAAGTTGCTGAGGCTGGCCTTGAACTTGCCATCCTCCTGCCTCAGCCTCCCAAGTAGCTG